TGAGGCTGATCATTAACAGTAAGATATCCTCACGGATTCTCGCAGTCCGGGCTACCTCCGGTCTCCGAAGAGCTACTAGCAGACTCAGCCGAGCAGTATTGGGAATGCTTGGAACATTCTCCAGCGTCACCACTCTCCAGCGGTAGTACCCCTCCATCAAGCGACAATGTACCATGGTTGTTGTCAGTAATAGTGATAGTAGTAGCGTCTGGTGATGATACTGGTACTCCTCCAACTACCATTGAGCGGACCTTTTGTGCTGCCATACCAGCTACACAGCCAGTGGCCCTTAGAGAGCCTTGTTTGACTTGAGACCAACTAGCACAATAAATAGTCGATGATACCTGTTGTACTCTATCACGAACTCTTATCCACCGCTGTCTCCGACATAGGCCATTATTATTATGATGCCCCTGATGGTAGTCAAGAGAAGTAGGCAATATAATATCATCATTGTAACCAGAGATAGGTACTGATGCTCGTCCCCTCTTCATAGAGGATGCTGTAGATATCGTACTCATAGCATCAGCCTCATCCTAAAACGATACCCTATGTCACACTGCTCTTAGTAACGGTAATAGGTTATGACCTGCAATAGTTGTTGGCGTGCTTCAAAGGCTGCCAAGTCATCATCCTGTTGTCTATCATCCGATCCTGCACTATCTGTATCGAGACGTATGCGTTTCATGCTTCGTAATGCGTCTTCTAAAACACTCTCATCATTGGGTGCCGTGTTCATCTAAACAACACTCCTTCTTGGTAGTATTGACTAGCGAATGATAGTACTCTTTGGCCGGGTAAGAGGGCTGGTGGTGGACCCGATAATGAAGGTATGACACATGGCTGTGAAGAGGTGAGTGGGTTTGGCGATGATGATAATGATGATGATGATGTCCGTGATGATGATGATACACTCGATGATGCACTTAGAAACCTGAAAAGAGTCCATGGTCATGTTATGGTGATGCGGTGTAATAACCTTGATCGAATGTCTTCATCACTGGACGTGAACTCCTCCACACTAAGGGCTGATGCTGCTGCTGGCTCTGATAACGAATGCCCTTCTTCCTCTACCGTCACCTCATGGGATTTCCTGAATCAGTGTGTAATACGCCGTGTAATTGCTGATCCATGAGCACCCTTCTGCTGCTAATGGCACTGTGTTGGCCCCTTCTATTGCTCTCTTTGATCCCTCAGTATTTGATGATGGAGTGGTATTCGGATTATTATCGTCAGATAATATGAATCCCACTGCCTTTTCTGTGACATCTAGTGCTGCTTCAGTTGTATCAAGTAAACGATCAGACCATGATAATCCTCTAAAACAACAACTGGATTATTGCATCACCATACCAACAATACCACACTATTACCTATTCATAAGATTCTGTTTTAAACTCCACAATACACCACCCTCCTCATCGGTAGTAAGCCGCTGAGCATCATTAACACTTCTACCACATTGCCTCCTTTGATCATCATCCTGTTCCATTGTATGAATAGCATCAGGTGATCCCCCACTACTACATCCACCACCACTATCGTTGATACTATCACAATCCATTATAACACTAGAATAGGTATCGGGTAGTACTACTATCGAACCATGATGAGCACCATGTGCCGTATCATCAACGATTCCAAGCTCTGATAGCTCTATCGAGCTACTACTACGGTTACTCTGCAGTAGCGTGCTGTCACTAACATCAAGTTGTGGAGAAGGCCGAAGTGCTGTAGTGGTATTGTGGTGATCAGTGGTGTACTCGGCAGCATCATGGAATTCATCCGACTTCGATGATGATGATGTTCCAGCTCCTGATGATGATGGTGATCTAGACTTGTTTATCCTCCAAGTCATTGAACTGTGTGACTTGAAAAATGTAACAACTATCCAGTAATCAGTTATAGTATATCAATAGAGCTATCATCATGAACAACAAAACACGTATTACGATGATGAACACACGGACAAGCTCGGTATGTCATTTGAACGGGAGAGGACGGCATCATCTCAATGTACGGATGGATCGTTGAGGAAGAATCACCAAAGGCTAACGTACACCCCAAAGGCGATTCTCGCACTAGTAAACGACATGAAGAAAGTTCCATATGCCGGGATCGAACCCGGGTGACTCACTACGCATATCCATCTTTGTCACTGAGTTGTAATGCAATACTTGTTGCACGAAAATGCAACATTTAGACGTACTGCCGCAAGTGGTGCTGTGAGTTAGGCTAGTAGTGATTGCTTATCAGGAGGTGATGGTAGTAGTTCGACTGTCATAATCCATAACCACAATTCGCCAGATGTATTATGAGCCCGTGATGGTACTATTGGTAGTGTTGTGGTGTTATATGGACAATACTATAGGCCATTGACTCAGAGAGTTGGTAGAGTGGAGGTAATATACATGTCAAGTCTCTCTGAATCACTCTTTGAAGGGAACGAATGAAGGCATATCATCCGATATGCTCCCACAACAACCACCACGTAGTATTAACCATATGAATCCATCATCTGGCATTGTAGATCCTATGAGAATTAGTTGAGTTTATTTCTAACCACTTGCACGTGATTAATGGTCGTACTATGTAGTGTAGACTCTTCGCCATAATGTTGAACATTCACCCATCTATGATGTAGTCGGTCAGGGATATAGTAGGAGAATCATAAGGTACATAAGGGGGGTTAGCTTCCCCGGGCTCCGAGACCTTGAAGTTATCGTCGAGCCGAGCATATATTTCCCAGTAGTAGCAGGGTAAGTTGGTAGCGAGTACTATATATCCAAGCATACCCTTTGCTATGCTCCCTCGTTTATCGAATGTATCTTATTGCTACTTGAATCGTGTTGTAATATTAAATACGGTAGTTATATAAAGGAGTTTCGTAGTGTTTTACTTGGCGACCTTCCCAAGGCAGGATGACTACTGCTGTTGCCCTCCCAGTTGCTAAGTCCCCAAAGAAGGTGGTCTCTCGAGCTGCTGAGAGATACCTCAGCAAGAAACAAGGGACTGCTGTAGTATAGGTCGGGGGATCAGGTAGAGTATATAGCTTTGATAACAGGTCCCTGAGTATCCTAGTGTGTACATCTTTGTCAATCCAACATCGGGAGGTAATAAAGCAGGGGAGCTAATGAAGTTAGGTATGGAGAAAATGTCATTTCAGGACAAGGGATTGGAGGCTGATGTAATACGGCTAAGGCGGTAGATTCGGCATTATACATGAGCATCACTGTAGGTATCAATATTCGATATCAGAGAGGGTCCTTCTGGGGAGAAGCCAGCATTTATGCAGCTACGTGACCTATTAGATTCACCCCAAGGGCCCGCTATGGGTGATTATGTTAGAGTAGTGGTAGCAGGTGGGGATGGGACTGTCATGTGGGTATTGCAAGAGGTAGTACTATGATAAGTATGGCGGTATGGTAGCCGAGTACTGCCATCATTATGTGTCAGTTGATTCAACATGGAATTAATACTGATAGAGTGTGTATCGGCATCATACCCTTCGGGACTGGCAATGATTTCTCAAGGTTAGGGTGCTCCTCTACACACTGCTATCACACATGATATTCTCCTATCAGAGCCACGGGGTGGGGACCGTCAGCACCATCAGACTTTCCTGGCTCCTGCCTTAGTGGCTTTAGAACGTGGCTCAAGCGATGGCTATCTGCCACTATTAAGCAGTTCGACATATGGGAGGTTAGTAGGCCTGATAGCACGGTTTGGCTGAGTTAGTATACTCATCGAGTTGTAGGTGGAGGTTGATCTTGATGATGACGGTGGAGTTATATACCAACTTAAGGGTGGTAAGAAGGTACCTCTCACAGAGACTGACACAGAGGTGGTAGTAGTACCTCGTTAATAACATTGATGTACTCCCATGTAGGGTAATGCTACCGATAGGAAGTTAAAGAAGTTGGTCAAGCCTATGTGTAACTACTTCTCTACTGGTGTGGAGTCCAGGTTGGGATTGGGTTTTGATAGGAATAGGAAGAAAAGC